ATTGCCGTGAACACAGTCACTATTGCCATTTTGAAATACTTTCATACGCAAAAGCTCAAAACGGTAACAATATTTATATTATTATTTTTTAGTATTTTTAATATTATTATAATGAAACAAAATTATAAAATCAAGTTATGACAAAGATAAAATATAATAATTAATATAAAACAAAACAAAATAACAAAAAAATTATTATGAATTATTAAAGTACAACTATTAAAACTGAAATATATTATGAAAAATTATTTATTTTTAATTCATTATATATTAAAAAAAGTTTATTTAATTTTAACTTATTGATATAGAATAAAAAATTATTTCTATTTATATATTATAAGTATAGTCAAATCTCTCTATAATTACCACCCTCAGAAAAGCAAAATTTGGTGACTATAAAGGGAATGTGACTATAGAGAGATTTTTTTACTATGTTTATATGTAAATAGAAAAGCAAAATAGAGTAACTATAAAGGGGTGTGACTATAAATGGGTGTGACTATAAAGAGATTTGACTGTATTAAAAGTAATTATATAGTATTTATACTATAAATATAATAATAATAAATATTTTTATAATATTATAAATATAAAAAGATAGATAAAACAGATAAATAAAAGCAAGAATATTATAATAGAAAGATAATAATAGAGAAATAATAGTAAGAAAATAATAATAAGAAAAAAATAATAAGAAAAAAGAGTATAAAAAAATATTTTTATACTAATAAATAAATATACATACTCCTATACCATATTATCAGAAATTGAAAAAAAAAACATAGTAAAATATAGTAAAATTGATATTATTACTTTATATTAAAATTTGTTATTTTATTAATAAATATTTTTTATTTTTATATTAAAATAAAGATGGTAACTTATATTTTTAATATATATTCTTCTATAATATTCTAGAATTTTTTAGAATTTTCTGTTCACTTGTAAATATGGAAAAAATTTTTTTATAATTAAAATTGCAATTTTTTCAATTTTAATTATAAAATTTTTTTTCATGTTTACAAGTGAACAGAAAATTCTAGAATATTATAGAAGAATATATATTAAAAATATAAGTTAACATCTTTATTTTAATATAAAAATAAAAAATATTTATTAATAAAATAACAAATTTTAATATAAAGTAATAATATTAATTTTAATATGTTTTACTATGTTTTTTTTCAATTTCTGGTAATATGGTATAGGGATATATATAAATATATAAATATATAAATATATAAATATATAAATAATTAAATAAATAATAATTAAAATTATTTTTGTTATTCTATTATTTTTCTATTATTTTTAAAGATTTATATTATTTACTATTTTTGAAAGATTTCTTAATTAATAAATTAACAAATATTAATATAATAATAAATATAAATATTAGAAAATATTATAGTTAAGATATAATTTTCAGTAGAATTATACTTGATCTATTAAATTATAAATTGAAATATTAAAATTAAATGATAGTAATAATAAATATATAAATAATCAAATAGAATTTCATTTTGAAATTTGTTAAAAAGTTATAATAACAGTTTCAAAATAAAAATATCTAAAATTTAATATTAATATAATTAGAATAAAAATTACTTTTATATCTATTAATTTTTGATTAATTTCATTTTAATAAATATAAATATTAAATAAATTTGGATTTTAGTATTTGAATTTTGAAAAGTAGTATTTTAATAAGAAAAAATATAATAATGTTAAATTAAATTTAATTTATTCATATTTGTAACAAGTATAAAATTTGTTAATTTAATAAAGTTTTTTTTGTTATATATATATATATTGATCAATAAAGATAAATCTTTAAATTATCTTAAAGAAATATAATTATAATTTAAATTAGTTTTAGTTATAGTTAAATTTTTTATAATTATATTTATTTATAGTCACATTTCTTTATAATTATTATTTTGTTTTCTTATTTATATATAAATATAGTAAAAACAATCTTTTTATAATTACATTTTCTTTATATTTATCTAATTTTGCTTTTTTAAAAGTGATAACTATAAAAAGGTTTGACTATATATTTCTAAATCAGTTTTGGCTATATTTCTAAATTATATTATTAATTTCAGAATTTATTTTTATTAATTAGCACAAGTTTCTTTTATACTTAAGATATTTTATTTTGTTAATTTGTTTTTTATTTATTAATAAAGAAAAAGATTATTATTTGTTATTTAGTTATATTTATATGGAAAATTTGAATTATTTATAAGATTTTTTTATATAATTAGAATATTTTTTAATCTGATCTTTTAAATTTTTAGTTATAAATAAAAAAATGGTGAGTAAAAAAAAATAAATGAATAAATTAATATGTTTTCAATATATTAAATAATTCAAATATAATATTTTTATCATTGTTAGAAAAAAACTTTTTGTTAATTTGGATACTTGTATTATACTCAATTAATAGTTTTTCAGTAATTAGTTTAATATTATTATTTTTAGTAATTAGTTCAATATTATTATTTTTAAGTGTCTTATTTATATTTTGTAAGTATATTAGAAAAATTAAAAAAAGATTGTTTTGAAATTATAATAATGATATTTATTTTGCATATTTGATCTTACAGTCAAATCTCTCTATAATTACATCTGTTTATAGCTATATCTTTTTATAGTTACTCTATTTTGCTTTTCTATTTATATATAAACATAGTAAAAAAATACTTTTATAGTTATATTTCCTTTATAATCACCAAATTTTGCTTTTTTGATAATGATTTCTATAAAGGAATTTGATTGTACCTATGATATTTTTGTATTATTATTTTGAACTTGTGAATTGTTATTTTCAACTTTGTCTTTTATATTTAGAACTTGAAATTAATTGATAATTAAATATTTTTATAATTTTTTGTTTCTAATTCTTTACTTTATTGTATTGTTTATTGGTTGTTTTTGTTAATTAATTGTAATTTCAGATTTTTAAAGAAAGAATAGTTTCATTTAATAATATTATCAAAAATAAATTTTTTTAAGATTACAAATTTATCAGCAATAGAAAAATTAAAAGGAACATTTTGGATGATTGTTACCTTTATAGTAAAAAAAAGAAAAAAGATAAAATAATAAGTAACATTTTTGTTATAAAAATTAAAATTTATTATCTGAAAATTCAGGTAAATAAATTTTTCTTATATTTAGTTTATCTTTTTCAAATGCAAACCAATCAATTATCAATGATAAAGTTTTTTTCTAATTTTTCTACTAAAGATAATCTATTAGAATGAAAAGTTTTGAATATATATTCAATGAATTTATCATCTTTTGATGCTTTTAATATATGAAATGGCACAAAATATAAATATCATTAAAAAAAAGAAGACTGATATTGTTGTTATTGTCAAAACAAGTGTGCTTTTTGTTTGTAAGTTACTATTTTATTTATTTATTTTTAGTGAATTTAAACTCTTCAGAAACTTTGGTTAATTGGATACTAACTCATCTCCACTCATATATATTTCTCACTAATCTATTTCACTTTAATAGCTCATCTATTTATTTCCTACTCGTCCATTTTTCCCACTAATTCACCAGAAATGGAACTTTTCTTTCTTGAGCCCATCTATTTATTTCCTATTCGTCCACCAATCTATTTCCCATCAATCTATTTCAAAAAGAAACACATGATTTTTTCTGATACAACAATATTTATAAGTCATTTTATAAAGGAACAACGATCAATACCAAAATAATAGCTGCTTAATTAATTTAAATTACGCTTAATTAATTTAAATTACGCTTAATTAATTTAAATTACGCTTAACGTTAAAGGTAGAGAGATGAAATTGCCATTTTTTACAGTGTATTACGTAGTACATGATAATCAGACGGGTGTCCAATGAGATCAAACTTGTGGGAATTTTTTATTTTCCTCTTAAATAACAATGCTTTATCGTTTCAAACCACCTTTTATAAAACCTATTTTAAAACCTATTTTACTTCGCAAATATTCTATATTCACTCTTTCTACCATGGCAACCATGAAAGCAATTCAAATTCAACGTCACGGTGGCACTGAAGTTTTAGAGTATGTGGATTTGCCTCGTCCAGAAGTGACTGGAAATAAAATCTTAGTAAAAAATCACGCAATTGGTGTTAATTTTATCGATATATATCACAGGTTAAACGAGATTTCATAATAATAAAGTGATTCACAATGTAATATTAATGTAATAACGATCAATTAAATAGAACTGGTCTATACAAAGTTTCACTTCCATTTATACTTGGACATGAAGGTGCAGGTGTGGTAGAATTTATTGGTGAAGGTGTAACGGATTTTGCACCAGGGGATCAAGTAGTTTACATGGCATCAGATTGTTATGCCGAATATACACTTGTCCCATCTAGGTAATGTACCACTTTTTTCAAAAACTTCTTTGCCTGGGAGAATATTAGCTAAAGTGGACTACGTGAAAGTTATTGTCTTAAAAGAATAATCACATTCAATAAGTAATTGTTTTTCTTACAATAAAGTCATGCATTTAAGATTCCAGCAAATATTAAATTTAAAGAGGCTGCTGCTTTTTTGCTTCAGGTAAGAATAATAGTTTACCAGAATCATATATATAAAATAACGTTAATTCATGTTAAAGGGCCTAACCTGTTGGACTTTAGTCACGCAAAGTTATGCGGTGCAAAAAGGTCATATCATATCATATATCTATCTATCTATCTACTATCTATCTAAACATATATGTTTTAATCCTAAATTAATATCCAGGAGATTATGTACTTATACACGCTGCAGCCGGTGGATGTGGTCTTTTGCTCACTCAATTATCAAAATTACTAGGAGCTCACGTAATTGGAACCACATCAAACGCTCAGAAAGCAGAACTAGCAAAAAAAGCAGGTGCAGAATACGTAATAAACTACACCACAGAAAACGTTGTCGAAAAAGTGAACGAAATTACCAATGGATTGGGTGTCCATGTTGTTTATGATGGTGTCGGAAAAGACACGTTCGAAGTTTCATTGGCGGCAGCTCGTCGACTCGGAACTGTCATTTCTTTTGGAAATGCTTCCGGTCTTGTTCCACCGTTTACTATCGCTAGATTAGCAGATAAAAATCTAAGGTTAATGAGACCAAGTCTAATGAACTATGTCACGACCAAAGAGGAATTTCAAAAGTACACCAAAGAATTATTTGATCTGATTCAAGAGAACAAAATTTCATTGTTAAATGTACAAGTTCATAAGTTGAGCGATGCGAAAAAAGCTCACGAATATTTAGAGTCCCGAAAAACTACCGGAAAATTAATTTTAGAACTTGTCTAATTTTGTATTCATCCATTATTTCTATTTTTCATTTATTGGATGCATGTTTGTATCCCCACCAATAGTATTAAATAAAACTCTGATTTCATTTTAACATCATAATTAACGCGCATTGTAAAATCGCGAAACACCAAAAATACCTCAAACATTGTATTTTAATATTTTTAACTCCATGCCGAACATTAAGAAAGAACCAGGAATAGCCTCGAATGGAACAGATAAAGAAGGTATACTTTCATTAAACAGACAATTTGGTTATTTAACGTTAGAAGGATTTCAGTTTAGTTTCCCGTTGCCTGCTTTATCAAAGTCTAAATGTTGCTTTTTTCGAAAAGCGCCCACAAATATCGAATTGACAGATAATAACGCAACAAATGACAATCTCGATAAAGATTCGTCAATAACAGATATAGATGGATCGAAAATCTCAATAACCACAAAGCGCGAGAATTCAATAACCACATATGGTATAATTGTAATTTATGCCAACCTTTATTCTTATTAAAGGAAGGTCTCGATTTTATTATTCATTGTCTTAATTTAATCAATGCGTGGAGTCGCCAGATTCTGGTAATTCAAGTAAACGACGTGCGCCATCTCCGATACGAGAAGAGGGGACAAAAACCCCACCAGAAAAAAAGCAAAAAACAGAAAAGAAGAAAGGAAAAAAATCGAAAACAAATAAAGGTATTAATTAATTAACCTGTTTAATAAGTCAGTTCGATCATTTAGTAAGCTTTTTTTTCTAATTCAAATCCCCTGTTCTTATTGTTGAATAAAAAGGTCCAATTGACTTGGACAGGCAATGTGGGGTAATAATATCTCCGGGTGCACCGCCATGCACGCGTTCATTAACTTGTAAAAGACATCCGATGGCTGCAAAACGTGGGGTTCCCGGTCGATCACAGACATACGACATATTACTACAACAATATCAAAAAAAATCGATCCGTTCGTATTATAAATCTTTTTTTGCATTATCAACAACTGTTTTTTATATAATCAACCTGGTTTAAATTATTGTTTATAACACACAGATAATAGTCAACTTGGTATGAAAAATGAAATTGGAAAAAAGGACGAGGTGAAAATCGAGGGCACTGATTAAACAGAATTGAAGATTAATGAGACCAACTCTGATGAGTTATCTCACAACTAAGGAAGAATTTCAAAAGTATACCAAAGAATCCTTTATTTGTATTCTAAGTTTGTATTCTAAGTTTGTATTCTAAGTTTGTATTCTAATTTTGTATTCTAATTTTGTATTCTAATTTTGTATTCTAATTTTGTATTTATAAATTTAATGGCATGACTGCTTTGTATCATTTCATAAATTAACGACTATTTTATGCAATGTAAATCGTGAAACACCAAAAATCGTGTTTTGCAAGAACAGTAGTTTCATTGAATAGACAATTAACCTGCTTAACTGTTGGAGTGATTCCAGTTTAATTTAAAAGTTGCCTGCTTTATCACAAAATATTATTAATTTATTCTAGTTTATAATCAATAATCAACCTGGTATAAATTATTTATAACACACAGATAATAATCAACCTGGTATGAAAAAAAGAGAGGATAATGAAGTGAATTTTATAATGGATGCAATACGGCGTAAGACCGAGGACAAAGTATTTTGGAGGCTTTTAAAAATATAAATAATTGATTGAAAAATAAATAATTTTCAATTTTAATAAATTAGAGCAAAGTAACATCTTTTTTTCTTTGAAGACATACAAAAAAATTAATTGCATATTATAAATTCAGTTGTTCTACGATAATAAAAATAAGTTGTTTACCAAGTTTATTTGCTAACGTTAATGTTTCGCAAAGATTCAATGCAAAAATTCTTGATAATATTAAAAAAAAATAAAAGATTTTTACAAATTTATTATGCTAAAACGAAATTATAACTAAATATATATATATATATATATATATATAACATTATTATATTTGAATTTCCACATAAAATTTTATATTCCACCAAAATTAATATATTTGGTGTTCAAATATTCGTCGATACCGTATTTTGATCCTTCACGACCAAGACCGGACTGCTTAATCTGTTATAATAAAGTAAAAATAATGAATAAAACCATCACACATAAGCTAGTTATGTATCACTTCCAATACTTACCCCACCAAATGGTGTTTCACAACTACTGATTATTCCTGTATTTATTCCTACCATACCCACTTCCAAAGCCTCAGCAACGCGCCAACATCGTCCAACATCTCGACTATAGAAATATCCCGCCAGACCGGACTCTGTTGAATTAGCCATCGCGATAACTTGTTCTTCTGTATCAAACTTGAAAATTCCGGCTATCGGGCCAAAGGTTTCTTCTTGACAGATCAACATTTCAGGATGCAGATTGGAAAGTACAGTTGGCTCATAGAAATTTCCCTTAAGATGTTTCCCGCCTATTAGTATTTCTGCGCCCTTTGAGACCGCGTCATCAACATGTCGCGTACATTTTTCTATAGCTTTGCGATTTATTAATGGACCGTGAGTTGTATCTGAATCGAACCCATTACCCACTCGGAAGTTGGATACTTTTTGAGTGAAATGTGAGGCGAACTCGGCGTACACAGACGATTGAACAAAAATTCGATTAGCGCATACACATGTTTGACCTGAGCTGCGAAACTTTGAAGCAACCGCGCCTGATTTGAGTAAAGTGAAACTCATTAACTCGGTATATCATATGAAAAAGATCTATTTGTAAGCTACAAACCTTTGACTGCTGCGTCAATATCTGCATCGTCAAAAACGATAAAGGGTGCATTTCCACCTAGTTCGAGAGTAATTTTCTTTAATGTACTTGAACTTTGTTCCATCAACAATTTTCCAACTGCTGTCTTATTTTAATAAGGATTTTTTAGAATCTCGAACTTTCTAAAGGAAGATAATCCATAAAAATAGATTTACTTACTGAACCAGTAAAAGAAACTTTTTTAATAATAGGATTGGTGGTTATTTCCAACCCTACTTCTTTATATTTTTCATGACTAGTCACCACGTTATAAACACCTTTAGGTAATCCTGCTTTATTCGCCAATTCTGCTATTGCCAAAGCCGAGAACGGCGTTTCCGCGGCAGGCTTAACAACTACAGTACATCCAGCAGCCAAAGCGGCACCGACTTTACGAGTTATCATAGCATTCGGGAAATTCCAAGGGGTAATTATACCCGCAACGCCAACCGGTTGCTTTTGTACCACAAATCTTTGATTTTTATTTGGTGAGGGAATAACATCGCCGTATGTGCGAGTTGCTTCCTCGGCGAACCATTCGATAAAACTGGCACCGTATTTAATCTCACCGAGAGCTTCTGAAACTGGCTTACCATTCTCTTGAGTAAGAATCAATGCAAGATCTTGTTGATGTTCTATTATGAGTGAATACCAATTCTTGAGCATATCATGTCGATACTGTTAAGAGGAAAAACAGGATATAGTATATAGATAGTATATAGATTGCAGACACCATATTACTATTCAGCCTCAAACTAGCGATCATATATAAACTACCTTTGCTGTTTGATCTGACCAATTTTTAAAGGCTTCTCTTGCAGCTTTTATAGCAATTTGAGTGTCCTCTTTATCCATATCTGGTACTTTGCCAATCTCGTTTTCTGTAGCTGGATCTATATAAATAGGTATTCCAATAGAAAAGGAATTCCAACAAAGTAAAAAATATCACATAACAATTTACAAAGTTTCGAATGCACTTTTTTTTTACCCAAAACTGCAAAGGTTTTTCCAGAGACGGATTTGGCCCAGTCACCATTTATAAAGGCTGCTTCACGAAATAACGAAGGATCTTTTAACTATTGAAAACTTACTCGCTTTATTATATGAAATTTAGTATGGTTTGATAACACCTAACCAACCTTAGGCATTTTTACGACTTTAGTCGTGAAATATCGACCGTTTATAAAGTTTGAATAGACACCCTTTGAACGATTATCTGTCAAAATGAATTTATTATCGTGGAATAACGAGCGAAGAGCTTTCAACATCTTTGTGTCGATCATCTACACGCAACGTGATTTGAAAACGCGAAAATCTGATTTAATAATTGTTCAGCAATAAAAAACTACATCTATCATTGTTTTCTTTATTACATTAGTAATCTTATGTATAGATCTAAACAAACTAACTGGACCAGTGGCTATCATATATGTAATTTTACTCACGTTCCTGGATTCAATAAATAAAAATAAAAATATTATATATATATAGTTTTTTTATTGGAACGAACTTTTTTCTAAATTAATTGTATAGTATACGATTTTATAAACGTAAATATTATTAGTATGAATGTAGAGTACAAAAAATCAAGAGTTTGATTTGTTCTATTTTTCAAGACACATCAATCACTTTCTTCAGTCTCCTCTTCGACTGAAGCAGAGTTGTCGTCCGAAGCATCTTCATCATAACTACTTCCGCTCTGCAAATTAAACAATGTATAAATATAATATATCAATCAAATAAACATAATCTCCAACAGAGACAAACTTACATCGTCATCATCAGGCTCACTTTCACTTAATTGGTATTCACTTGCAGAGTCAGAGGATGCGTCTGAACCTTCACCCTGTATTTATAAAAAATAGTGAATTAATTTCCCTTCTAGCCTTTTGATGAATAATAACTACACTACTGTGGAAACAACTTACATCCTCATTCTCGGCTAAGAATGACCAACCACCTTCCTTGTAAAATTCTGCAGGGTCAGCGTTTATTGTCTTCATAATCTGTGTCCAATTCAGATTAACAGGTCCTTCAGTGAATGTCACATCTACGTTGCTGGAAAAAAAGTTCTCTTCATTAATTTGTTTTGACAAAGTATGAATGATTTGACACTACAATTTCTACTCACTCTAGCCATTCCTTCACATTTTCTAATTGTTCCATCGGAATTGTATTGATGTGTACAGGAGTACGCGAGTAATCTTTAAATACAAATACAATATCAAAATGCTTCAACCCATACTAAATAAAATCAAGGGATTAATTAATTAGAAAGGGATTCCTCAGTTTATTGTACGTGAGAAAAGACAATAATTGAAAACAAATTATCCACCTGAACACGTTCCAAATGAGCAATCTCTATATCAGCAAGTGTTATCACCAAGAATGGGGGATCAGTTAAATGAACAAGAGCATCATTTGTAGGTTGAAGTAAAACATTGGTTCTAAAAGGAACCCCATTGAATCCTAAATTTCTATAAGGAATCTCAATTTCTTCTATTCGATCAGTCTACGAATCAATGAAAAAGTCAGAAATATCCTATACAAAATAGTCAAGCCAATATTTTATTTTACTTACTGCATCAGCTATTTTTTCTGCAAAAGATTTGAATTCTTTATTCAATTGAGCCCGCCTTCTGCGCTCTTCCTGCTCGGCACCCAATTCGTCTTCATCACCATATCGATATTTTCTTTTACGGTTGCCTGTTTCATCAAATTGAACATCTGAAGCCTCTCGATAAAATTGAATGTCCTATAAGTTAACAAGCGATTATTAATAAAAGAATATACTACTAGTCGCGCAAGCAGACAAAATCCATATTAAAAAAGAAAAGGGACCTTTGTTTTTTTCTTGCCAATCATAATAGGATTTTTCAAATGTGCATGCAACAAGACGATGAGTTCATTGTCGCAAGGTTGGAAAAACATATGTTTGACATTACTAAACAGAATATCTTTAAAGGAATAAGCACAATGAAATCAAATCTTTTATCAGTCAATGCAACGTAAATTCATAATACGATTCAAATCTAACCTATTTTCTGATTCGTTTTACTAGCATGATATCTTAATCCATTCTGATGTATTTCGAGCTCTCCTGGCGCTCGTTTGCCCTCTAACCCAGGTCTTGCAAATACATCTGACAATCGTTGAGGCCTTCGACCTAAAAATGAAAGAAAAATTAGTCTTTTATTGAATATTTTGAAACTAAATAAAGGAGAGCTAATTAATCACCTTTTAACTCTATGAGCTTATCCTGTTCAACGATATCTGCCCGTTCTTTACGCTCTGCTTCTCTAGTAAATTTAAAAAAAGAACGAGGTTAAACGGAAACAAAACTTGCGAATTAAAGATTTAAGACGAATTATATTCTTACTTTTTGGAGGCACTTTTCTTAAGATCGAGAATCTTTTTGTGAATTTCAGATAAATATGGATCTGTACTTCGATATGAAACAGCACGAACAAAGGTTGCATTCGTGTCATCAAATGGCTGCAAATAAATTTACAAGACATAATGAGTCCTGATAGTAGATAAAATTTTAGCCAGTCTTTGAAAATTTGCATTTTAACTCACCATATCTTCTTTCTTGCCGGATGCTTGATTTGGAGTCAAGAAATTCAAACGCAAATAAGTGAAATCTCCCTCTTCATTCTTACTTGCATTTTTTAACGTTGAAATATGGAAAGGCACAGCAAAACCATAAATAGGTAAAATGATTGATTCGTTTTTTTGATCTACAACAATCTATTAAAGAGATAGCCATATTATTATTAAGATTTAATATTATTATATAGTATATGCATATAGCCTTTACCTTAAGTTCTTTGACTTCTTTAGGCAAAGCAGAATCCCGTTTATAGCTTTCGAATTTTTGAAAGAAAACTTGCTGTTGATATGTTTGCTGATCTGATGATTCAGCAAATCTAGCCAATCCTTCTGCTTGTTTTAAAGCCGCTAATTCCTTTTGATGTGCTCTGCGTTGTTGATCTTTAGTTTCTTCGCGCTATTTAATTAAAAATAGCAGAAATATTAACATGATGTTTTCAATCTTATTAATGAATAAAAAAATCTTATTATTAATAACAAACCTGTTCTTCACTCCTGAATTTAGTTCTCAGTACAGCACTTTTTTTTGCTGAAGCTTTCTTTGGCTCAGTTTGTTTGACTGGCCGTTTGTTTTCTTTCTTTGCTTCTTGATCGCTTTTCCCTTCATCCTTAATCAGAGGGGAAATTAATTATAAGTTTTACCATATTGTTTTAAAATCTTTGTGTAGTATTTTTTTTTTAGCAAATTACCATAAAAGTATAAGACACAGAATTTAAGGTTTTTTGATAATCGGTTAATATAATAGGCCGATCATTGGTCACTCGTACTGTATCAATTACTAAAAGTGAATAACTATTAAATGATATTTAGATTAGAAGCTATCTTAATTATAAGAAAGATAGGCTTAGAAAATAGCATAGTTATTTTCTTACTTTTCACTTCGTTTATTATCTTCTGCTTGTTCGTTTTTAAGATTCTGAAAACCTATCGATAGATTTAATATCATTCCACTCTTTAATTCTCTCGTGTTTTTAGGATTCAAAAGGTAATTTCCCTCACGGAATTCAATTCCCATCTAGATGGAAGATAAAGAATCAGAAAGAATTCTTATAAATAAAATTTCAAAAGCTGAGGAACCTTTTATAAGAAATATTACCCCAAAGCCAAGAGTTTTAACAAAGGCATTTTCGAGATCGGGACGCTTGGTTTTAATATAATCAATAGCTTTTGAGTATACATCTCGTATTTTTGTGCCATCTTTTATATATTCCAAAACATGCCGCTGAAGATCCAAAAGGAACTGATAATTCCTTTCTTGAGTCTATCATGATATAAGAAACATTTTTGTTAACGTATATTTTCACGTTAGAGACTGTATATATAAAGAAATGGAATGTACAATAATACCTTAGTTGCTTGTATAAGAATTGTTCTTCCAATATTGGAACAATAATATTTATATCTTGCTCCTAATGAACATAAGACAATACTTCCACTTCCGGTATGTAATTTTTCGTCAGTAGATTGTGCCGAGGATTTCAGATCGTATTTTCCGCCACTTTGAATTATTGGTGTATAGCAGGATTCCAGTTTTTCCAAGTCAAGCTGGATGATATTTTCATGATTAGCAAATTATTCAAATAAATAACAAAAAAGAAACAAATCTTACATCTGGACCATTAGCAATTTTAGCAAGCGTTTTATCAGTCTCAATCATTGTCTGTATTTCTTCAGCAAGTTGATCGTGCTTCATATCTTTTCCTTCATCGATAATTGTACCCAAAGTATCATAGACTCTCCTCATAAGGGTAGAGCTTATTTTACTGGCAATTTTTATTAATTTCTATAAACATTGTTTATTGATTAATAATAGATCTTAATTATTAAGTATTTTTTATTATATAGAGACGCATACCAATTCATCTTCATCTTTGATGGATAAAGTGGAAGCTACACCAGCAGAAACATCGACTTCTTGTACACTGGATTTTATGTCCTCGTATACCTTTTGCCATTCTTCTAGAAAGCTGCCGGTATATTTTTGTTTTGGCAGTATACCAATGCGTTTCTAAAGCAAAAATAAAAAATCAATGTTTAACTAAACCGTTGAATTTTAATGAATAGCTGTAGATTTTTCTTTTTCAATTGCTTATTGATTACCTCTGTATTTGTTTCCTGCATAATAGAGCAGATTTGTTCTAATAATTTACGATTATGACTAGCATCCTTAGTTCGTTTGAGAATCTCAATGGGTATTTGCTTTTCACCCAGTTTTAAATCTTCTAACATATTTGCTAAAGAAAAAAGATAATAAAGGTGAATATGTGTGGACGAAATATTATGATGCATGCTATGCTATGCTAACCTCTACTCTCGCTTGCCACAAAATATATTTTTTCGGTTGTGAAGAGGATCAATACATTAGGTATTTCTAGTCCTAAGAGCCAGCTCTGAAAAAACAAGTATTTTTTTAGAGATCATCAACTACAAACATCGAAAAATAAAATGAAGTGAATAAAGTACCTCCAATGCTATGGATTTTTGATAAGGGTAATCTTCTTGCAATTCGCCTATTACGGCGAGAATTGCGGAGGCACCTTGGAAAAGTTCGTCAGAGGCACCTTTTTTGAGCGAAGCCTGAAAATGAGCAAAGTTTTACCAGAGGTATAATGGACAAGGTTAGTAACCAAGGTAAAAAGACAAATTTAGTAGTATGAAATTAAGTGAATGCTTGTACTGCGCTAGTCAAACTCAAAGTATTAAGGCACCTCTAATACTTGTTAATTTTAAAAAACGCGTATTGCAGCATACAAAAGTAACAAAGTCGCGTGTAACAAATTAAGGAAAATGGATAAATTCGTAAAATTTAGTCAATGCACACCTTCCAAGAAGACAATAAATTTCGTGCACGTTTGTGAAAAGTTTTTGCATCAAGGCGAACTTGTTGTCTCATTTTCGCGATCGGTAAAAGTGTGTAGAAGATAGAAAATAGTTGTGGCAAGTATTTCAAACTTTAATACGATGTCACGTGTAATATTATGTTCTAGAAATGTCAATTTTCTGTGTCATTTTGATTTGGAATTTCTTTATTTTAATTAAGAACATTACCAATGATTACAAAAACACAGAAGTTCTTTTATTAAGCTCAAAAAAAAAAACTTGAATTTTCTTTATAACTTTCAAATATATAATATATAAAACATGTGATTCAAGTCAAATAAAAGAGATAATATTATTGGACAATCAAATTTTTATTTTGAATTTTTAGTTCTGAATTTCAATTTGAAATTCATATTTTTATTGGAAATTTAATTTTTATAATTTATCTATAAATATAACATATATTTTAGTTTTAGAAAAATAACAAAAAGAAATTTACTATATGTTTTAAATTAATTTTATTAGCTAAAATAACTAATATTCTTATATTTATTCTTTTATCTTAATTAAAAAAATTATAATTCTTGTAATTGATCTCTTATTTTAACTATTGTTACTATTTTGTATGATTTTAAGTTTTATTATGAAAGATTATATTGTTACTGTTTTAATATGACTTTAGGTTCTGTCATGAGTAAGGATGCTTGCCTAAATCCTTTCAGAAAAATATCGTCATAATTTCGACGGGTTACACACTAATTGTTAATTAGAATTTTGACATAATTTCAGTTACGACGGGTTTCAAAATTCGTCAGAATTTTGACAGGTTATTTACTAATAATTTATTATAATTTTGACAGAATTTAGACAGTCACTAAGGAATTTCGGCAAGCAACCTTAGTCATGAGAGTACACATGATAGAGTTAGGTGAGAAAGTTGACGTTGTTATGATTGGAAATTTATATAATTTTTATAATTTTCATAATTTTCATAATTTCTATAACTTTCATAATTTTGATAATTATCACAATTATAGTAATTATCATCATTTACAACAATTATTATAATTATCATCATTTACAACAATTATCATAATTACTATCATTTATAATAATTATCATAATTACCATAATTATCATAATTATCATAATTATCATCATTTACATAATATTTATTATTTATCAATTTATATAATTAATTATACATATAATATTTATTAATGAAAAATATTTATTATAAATAAAGTGTAATTAAAGTTTTGAAAAAGACATCAATTGATCAATACAAAAATCTAGCTAGTCAATAAACTGTTCATTGTTTATTGTTAATAAAATTTGTACATTTAATTAATTAAATAATAATTTATTAAAATACTTGTATTTATTGTGCACTATTGGACAACCGTCAAAGTTACTATAAAATATCAGTACTATATTACTATAGAACTGTTCCACACTAAGTAGATATAATATCTATTAGTAATAGTGAGAGCCTATCTACAAGATAGAAGAAAATGCACTGCATAGTGATCCTGAAGTATACTTATTATGACGAGATTGAGTAATTGTAAAATTACTGTTATCAAATGTTGATTGAACACTTACGTCATGATAACATCTACCAGGAGCCTGATTGTGATATTGATCTGTGATTTTTACTGCTAAAAATATTTACGAAATAGGTTATAGTGATTGTGTTCATGCAAAAGTATATAATATAAGTCTTTATAAAATATGAATTCCAATATCAAGTGACAAAAATTGTATTTATTATTTTTACAAGTGAAGTTTTATAATAAATATAAATAATAATTCAACATGTAATAAATTATTATAGCAAGAAAGATAAGAAAATCAATAAGAATAAGATAATTAGAATAATCAGCAGTCTGATATATTCTTTATTATTGTCAAGATCAAGATAAATTACAAGATATTTGGTTTTCTATATTAGATTACATTCATTTAAATATATATTAAAATAATACAAATCTACAAGATTTGTAATGATGCAAAGAATCAATAAAGTAATAAAGTTATAATATGCATAATGTCAAGAAATAATAAATATAATACAAATTAATCTAAGTATTACAAATAAAATTAGTGAAATATTGGCATTACATTAAATAAATTAGATAAATTAATAATCAAAATTAAATAGATTAATAATTAAAAATCAAGAATTAATAAAATATAATAACTAATAATTAACAAAAATTGTATAATAAATAAATAAAATGATTAATAATTTATAATATTACTAGATGTAAATAAAAGATAAATAAATAAATGGATAAATAAATGTTTATAAATAGAAATTGATTGAATATCACTCAGAATCTGATAATATCTCATGTCAGATGATCAAAGAAAATAGTGAATGATGACAGTACTGTTATCATTTTTACAAAAAATTTATAATTACTCACATCAGGAAATTTTTTGGGGTGATTTGTATTGATATTTATCATTAATTATATATCGATATATATCTGAGTCGTCGATGCATATCGAAACAGATATTTGATATATATCAATATATATCAAAGTCATCGATGTATATTGTTTAACGATGTAGATTGTTAAATATCATTGTTTAACGATATACATCGTTAAATATCATTGTTTAATGATATATATTGTTAAATATCATTGTTTAACGATATACATCGTTAAATCGACTTATTTCATTAAATATCGATATATGTGTAAATATCGTTATTTAATGATTTTTATTATTAAATTCAGAATATTCT